ACCGTTGGTTTATCGCCTTGATCTCGGCGGAAACTGGGAAGCAAGGGAAGCATCCCCAGGGATCCGCCGTCACACGCTCCGGGTTTTAATTAGGGCTGGGAAATCGCCGCCGACAGCGGCGCGGGGAGGAGAGCCCGGCTCGGATTGGGGCCGGAATGAAACGGACCGCACCGAACCGGGCAGCACAGCGCCCCGAGCGCAGCTCCCGGGGGGCTGGCAGCGCGGGGGGATGCGGGATGCGGGATGCGGGATGCGGGATGCGGGATGCGGGACCAGCCCTGCCCGGCACACGCTGAGGCACGGGGGAACGCGGGATGGAGCCGGGCCCGGCAGCAGCCGCGGCCAGAGCGGCTCTGGAGCCGGCTCACGTGGGGGTGGGGGAGCCGCTCCCCAGCCCCCTCCCCTCTCCCCAGCCCCCTCCCCTGTCCCCGGCCGGCAGGGCCCGCTGGGACCCCCGTGCTGGTGGGGACAGCGGGGATAAGGCCACACGCGTGGCCTGGGCTGCTCTCCCACGGGCAGGGACAGGGATGGACCCCTGCCCTCTGGATGGCTGGTCCCCCTGCCCTCCACGGCAAAGCTGGGGACACGTGTGGCACTAGTGACACGCATGTCACCTCCCCTCGCGTGGCATAGATGGCACAGAGGCACGCCACAGACCAGCCACTGGTCCTGCTGTGCCAGGGCCATTCCTGTGGTGCCAGCCACAGTTCTGGGGTGAAACCTTGCAGGATTTGGTCAGCAGGGTGCACAGGGGTGAAGCCACCAGCCGAGCCCCGGGGGTGGCATCCATCCCTTCCCTGGGCCAGCGTGGGGGTCCTGGCACGGCGGGTGCCCAGCACAGTGGCACTGTCACCATACCCAGCTGTGTCAGCACAAACCTCCAGCTCCCAGCCCGGCCGAGGATTACCAGCCAGCTCTGCTGCTAATTAATAATCCACTTCATTAAGAATCGTCTGTCAATATGTCACCAGCACAAGGACAGGCTCAGCGACCGTGAGCTGGGGACATCTCTCCATGGGGCCACCGTCCTGCTCCTGCTGCTCCTGCTCCTTCTTCTCCTGCTCCTGCTCTTCCTCCTGCTCCTCTTCCTCCAGCAGTCCCAGCCCAGCCTGCTCGGGCCCCTCTCTCTGTCCCCTGATGATGCCATGGATCATCCTGATGGTGCCACCATCATCCTCTCTGTCCCCTCGCCCATCCGTGCTGCCATCACCCAGCAGGCTGGGGGTCTGTCTGTCCCACAAGGTGACACAAGGACCCCCTCTGGTGATGTCACCTGTCACTCAGGCTCCTGGTGGTGTCGCAGCCTCCCACACTCACCCCAGGTTCCCACTCGGCAGCTCGGATGGAATTTGGCCACGAGGGATCCTGAAGCCTTGGGGTGCAGCAGGACACCCCCAAAAAGTGGGGGGAAGCCAGGCCCATCCCTGGTGTTAAGGGCATCGCCCCCACTGTCCCCAGCAGGTGACACCAGGGTTGTCACATCCAGCGGGGCTGGGAACGGGGGGGGCTCCCCTTCCCTCCATCCTGAACCCCCCCAGCACCGGGCAGAGCACGGGGGGCAGGCGGGGGGCACGGCGTCCCCCAGGGCAGTTTCATCAGATGGAGAGTGAAGCAGGGAGCAGTGGCAGGAGCAATTAGCTAATTGCAGCGGTGGGCGCCTGCCCCGGCCCCCCCGCGCGGGCTCCGAGCCGCAGCCGCAGCACTTTGTACTTAACCTACTTTCGCTTTTGTCCCGGCCGAGCAGCCGGAGCCGCCCGGGGCTCTGCGCTGGGCTCGGCTCCGATCTCCGGGTCCCTCTCAGCAGCCCCCAGCCCCAAATGAAGCAGCCAGGGCTCGGCTGAGCCTGGGTAAGTGGGTCACACTCAGGCGGGCCACACAGCAGCGTCCCCACTCCAGGGATGGAGGTTCGTGTCCTCCCAGGCAGGGAAACCACAGAAACCTCCTCCCCAGGGTGCGTGTCTCCCCCGAGCATCCTCCTCCAGCCCTTCCCGGGGGATGCAGCCTCTGGAGGAGCGGCACTGCCTGACAGCTTCCATCGAGCTTTAATTAACTAACGAGGCTCGGCGCTGCCATCTCTGTGAATAAACACGGCCAGAGAAGGGCCCGATCCAGCTGTGACACCAGGCCAGATGTGCAGCGGGGAGGGCGGGAGTGCCAGGGGACTGCTCTGCTCGGGAATGTGGCACTGGGGACAGGAGAGCCCCTTGCCCTGAGGGAGGGCCAGCAGCACGGTTCGGGTACAATGCTGGGACTCAGGAGTCACAGCCCGTCCTCACAGCTCAAGGACAGTCCCAGGGTCTCACCAGCGACCTTTGGGTCCAGCCAGCACCCCAAACTGACACCTCCAGTGTCCCTTTCCTTCCATCCACTCCTGACTGACACCTCCAGTGTCCCCTTCCTTCCATCCACCCCAAACTGACACCTCCAGTATCCCTTCCCTTCCATCCACTCCTGACTGACACCTCCAGTGTCCCCTTCCTTCCATCCACCCCTGACACCTTCAGTGTCCCTTCCCTTCCATCCACCCCTAACTGACACCTCCAGTGTCCCTTTCTTTCCATCCACCCCCAACTGACACCTCCAGTGTACCCTTCGTACAATCCACCCCTGACACCTCCAGTGTCCCCTTTCTTCCATCCACCCCTAACTGACACCTCCAGTGTCCCTTTCCGTCCATCCACCGCCAGCCAAAATTCCTGGAGCATCCCTGGGATAACCGTTCAGGAGAGCGTGCCCTGCTCGCGGCTTCCCTCCGGAGCTGCTGCCTGCCAGGATTGATTTTTTTTTTTTTTTTAAACTGGGATGAATTTTTCCGCCTCGGCTGCCAGCGGGGTGGCTCGGCCCCGGGGAAGGGGCCGGGGGAGCGCAGCCGGCGCCGGTGACGCGGCAAGAAGGGGCCATTGTGGCCAGGCACAGCTGTGCGGCGCGGGCAGGGAGCAGCGGGAATGCAAAGTGCTGCGGAGGGAAGGGCTTGCGGGACCCAGCACCCCGCACGGGGGGTCCCCCACCCCGCCCGTGCCCCGGTGACAATGGTGGCTTTATGGGGAGTGACACCACCCCCTGTCCCAGGAGCTGCCGCGGTCTGGCGTGTGCCATCATGGGCGCAGGTGGGTGTTGGGGACACCCCGTCCCCATCTGTCCCCTGGCACAGCCAGACGAGGTGCTGGGTCCCCCTGGAGCGGGGACGAGCCAGCAGCAGCCTGCTCTGGAGGCTGGTGGGCCCTGACGAGCCCTGGCACAGTGACACCGGGGCTAAGGGGGGGCACAGAGCGGCTCCGTGCCCTCCCCAGCGCCCCTCCTCGGGGCTGTCCGCGCATCCTTTCTCTCGCTGAGCTCTCCTGAATTATTCAGGCGCTGCCTCCCTGCGGATGCTCCCCCCTGCCCGCAGCCGAGCCCCAGCACTCCGCCGGAGGGGAGCAGCCGGGACTGGAGCTCCTGGAGCTCTGGGGGTGTCCGGGTGGCAGGAGGGAGGGGAAGGAGCCTTGCCGCCTCCCCCAGGACGGGCGATGCTCGGCGGGCAGGAGAGCAGCGGCTGCAAAGCCCCGTTTCATTTCCCTGAAAGGAGAGGAGGGACGGGGGGGAGAGGCCGCTCGGAGCTGGCCCAGATCCTGGTGCCTCTCTTTTTTATTCCCTGTTTTCATGCGGCGCCAGCTCCCATCCCCGCTGATCCGCAGCGGCTGCTCCCGGCAGCGCCCCCCGGGCAGAGACAGGGATTTGTGGGGGCTCCCCCCGTGTGACCCCAGCCGAGCATCCCCCAGACGCTGCTCCAGAGCTGGAGTGAGGTGCAGAGCTCTGCGAGACCTGGGGACATTCCCGAGACTCTTCCCGAGCTGGGAATTGTGGGATCGGCGTGTTGGGCACACCGGAGAGTGTGGGGGGGCTCCCCACAGCCCACCCCACCCCGTCACCCTCCAAAACACCTTCAGCAACAGCCTGAGCGAGGTGACAAACTGCGGGATGTCCCAGCGGTGGGAGGGCGGGATGGGACAGCGGTAGGGTGCGGGACAGGGCAGTGACAGGGACACAGGACCAGGCTCCTGGTGGCCGCCGGGACCGGAGGAGCCCCGAGGGTGATTTCTGCGGGGCAGGCTGGTGCCACAACTGTTCGGAAGTGCCGCAACAGCTGCTCCGGCACCCCCTGGGACCAGAGCAAATCCTCGGGGGCATTGGGAGCGGGGGCGATGCCCCGGGGGTGTCGGGCACTGCCGTGGGGCGGGGGGCAGCCGGAGCGGGGGGCTGGCCAGGATCTGGGGTTCGCTTCCCAGCCGCTGCGTAAGACCAGGACTCCAGTCAAGGCTCCCGTTAATCCAGACTTTAATCCGCTCTAAATCTCACCTTTAATCTGTTTAATGCCACCTTTGGGAGTTAGGATCCCGTGCCGCGGCTCGCACCCACTGAGCCGGGAGGAGGAAGAGGAAGGATGCCCCGACATTCCCGATGCCGGGCAGCTCCGAATTTCTGGGATGTCGGGGGATCCCCGGCACCGGGATGGACTGACAGCCACGACCCCCGCGCCTCCACACCCCCGCCTGAGCCGCCCCCGCGCCTCCCCCGCTTCCCACGGGTGTCCCATCCCCCGTGAGGCCGCGGAGGAGGGGGAGCCCCGACCCGCCCGCTTCAGCCTCTGCTGAACCCTCCTCAGCTCCGGTTCAGCAGCGCCCGCCCGCGTCCCACGCGTGATGCTGTCACCCGGCGGGTCCCCGCCGCCCACCGGTGTCCCTGCCACCCCGCGTGTCCCTGTCACCCACCGGTGTCCCCGTCCCCCCTGCGTGTCCCCGTGCCCCCGGTGCAGCCCGGGGTGCCCGAGCCCTCCCCGCTCGTTACCGGCACCGGCCCACGCGCGCGGGACCCACGGGGGCGCGCCCGCCCCGGCCCCGCCCACGCCCCGTCCGCGCGCTCCCATTGGCCGCTTCGTAGCAAGCCCGCGTCGCCATTGGCTGGTGCCACCCCCGGGACACGCCCCCCGCCCCGCCCCCGCCGCTCCCGGCCCCGCGCGGGACTTGGCGGCGACCGCGGGCGGGAGGCCCCGACCCGCCGGGAACCGGCACCGGGAACCGGACACTGAGAGCCAGGAACCGGCACCGGGAACCGGCTCCGAGAGACGGGAACCGGACACTGAGAGCCGGGAACCGGCACCGAGAGACGGGAACCGGCACCGGGAACCCGACACCGACAGCCGGGAACCGGCACCGCCAACCATACATTGAGAATCGGGAACCGGAACTGGTAACTGGACACTGGGAACCGGACACCGAGAATCGGACACTGGGAACCGGCATCGGGAATCGGTAAACAGACACCGGGAACCGGGCACCGGACACTGGACATCGGGAAACGGCACCGGGAAACGGGAAGCGGGAACCGAACATCGGACACCAGGACTGGCACTGGCCATCGAAGACCGAACACCGGACATCGTCACCGAGCACAGGCATCGGGGAGCGGGCGCTGGTAGCGCTGCGGGACCCGCCGGGCAGGGAGCGGCACCGGGGGAAGCGGGACCCTCCGCCTGGCCCCGCCCCTCCAGCCCCGCCCCGCCCCGTCCCGCCGGGAGCACCGGAGAATCCCCGCTCCCGGCGCCGCTCTCCCCGAGGCAGGCTGCAGGTAAGGGCCGGTTCCTCCGGTACCTCCCGGTACCTCCCAGTTCCTCCCGGTTCCCCCGGTGCCTCCCATCTTCCCCGCTCCGTGGGGGCGGGGGCGCTCGGTACCGGCCCCGTTTCGTGCTTGCGCTTGCGGGGCGAAGCCTCTCGTGCCCCACCCCGGGAATCATCCGTGTGTGTCCCCCCTGCCCGGTGTCACCGGGCACCGACGGTCGCGCCCGGGGGAGAGGAGGGTTTGGGAGCCGCGAGGGCCGGGAGCCGGGGGCGGGCAGAGCCCCGGCAGGCCCTGGACGTGCTTCGGCTTTCCCGGGTGGGTAAAACACGGGGAGAGGGCGATTTCCCCCCGGGTTCAAGGGAAGTGCGATGGGGCTGGCTCCGGTGGGTGCTGGATAACGGGAGCCGGGGGGAGGCACCGGAGCCACCCCGTGGGGCTGGCACGGCCCCACGTGCCCGGGCAGGGCCGGGTGCCCCCTGGCAGCACTTGGCTTCGAGCATCGCCCGTCCCTCCTCCCAGCCCTGCGCTCCAGAGGATGAAATTCCCCCATTCCTGGAAAGACGAATCCCTCGGGAGAGGCCGGATCCCTCCCGGGGCAGGAGCTGGGTGTGAAACTCCCACAAACTCCCGGCTCGGACTGATCTTCCCTGGGGCACGGAAGGATTTGAACCGTTCTTCACCGACCCCAGGCCCGGCATTGGATCCCAATTGTCCCGTGGAGTTTTCCTCCCTCCCAGAGCGACTTTGTCCTGCTGATCCCGGGGCAGGAAGCATGTGATGTGCCCTGGCCCCCTCCGCAGCCGGACAGACGGACGGATGGTGGTTTGGCCTCAGTTTCCCCCTCCCAGCCTCTGTTTTCTACTTCCCCATAAGTCTCCGTCTGCTCCGAGTGAAGGAGAAAGGAAGTTGCTGCCAGAGAGAGCAGCTTGATGGCAGCTGGAGAAAGAAAAGGAGGAAATGGAAGGCGAGACAGATGCTCCAAAATAACCCCCCCGTTCTCCTCTCTGTAAAATAACCCCCTTCCTCCTCCTCTTCCTCTGCCTTTTCTCCATAAAATCCCCCTCTCTTCCTCCTCTTCCTCCTCCCCTCCATAATATAACCCCCCTTCCTCCTCCTCCTCCTCTTCCTCCTCCTTCTCTCCTTAAAATAACCTCCATTCCTCCTCCTCCTGCTCCTTCTCCTCCTCCTCCTCCTCTCCAGCTTGGCAGCTGCCTCCCCCCCCGGGGCACAATAATCCCAGGAGGAATTCCTTGATGCCGCAGCAGATCCTCAGATCAGCCCCCAGGATCGCCCCCTGCCCTGCGTGGGGGCTCGCAGCCCTGAGCGCCCCTCCACGCGGACCCCGGGGTCCCATTCCCACGGGCAGCACCGGTGGGGGCTCCCCGCCCATGCCCGGGGTTGGCACCGCCAGAGCCCCCTCGGACGGGGGCAGCTCCTTGCACAGACACGTCGGAGCTGCCAGGGCGGATCAGCATTCCCAGGCAAAACCAAAAACCGTCTCCTTCCCATGGCTGCATCTGCAGCCCCAGCGGGGGCACCTGCGGGAAGGAGGTTTTGGGACGGAGGAGCTCGGATGTCCCAGAGGCGGAGGGGACGGGGATGGGGACGCGCCGGGCGCTTGGCACCGGCACTGGCACCAGCACCGGGAGCGAGCAGGGCAAGGGGGAGCACCGGTGCGGCGGTGCCCCGCAGCATTCCCGGCGCCCCGCAGCATTCCCGGTGCCCCGCAGCACTCCCGGTGCTCCCCCGGACGCTGCGGCCGCGGATCCACCCGGCCTTGCCAGGGAAGGAGCTTTTCCCCGGGCTCGGTGTTTGCTCAGTGCCCTCCTGCCGGCCTCGCCCCGCTGGGCACACACGCTCCCGGGCAGCGTCTCCGGCTGCTCTCTGCCCCCATGGCAACCTGCGAGGGCCGGCGCTTGGCCCTTCCTCCCGCTCCTCTTCCTCGGCTCTCCCGGCGCTGGTAACGAGGGCCCGGGAGCGGCGGGGGTCACGGCGGGTGGGGGCCGGGCTGCGGGGGCTCTCAGGTTACTGCCCGGTGCTCCCACCTGGCTCCTGTAATCCAGGAGGGTGTAATTAATTAATAGGGGCTGGAGCAGGGGGAAAGAGATCCGGGGGATGGAGGGCAGAGCAGCGGGATGCCATCCACACACCTGGCATTGAGCCGTGGATTTGGGGGGACTGGGGATGCTGGGGGGCAGAGCTGGGGTGTTTCCCGGGAAATCCAAGGGGATCGCCCCTGCTCAGTGTTTATCCCGTTGGGAAACGATGTTTCCATGTTGGAGGAAACTTGTAGCAAGACAATGCAAGTTACTGTGGCCGCGGTGGGAAGCTGGAGGAGGGAGAGGAGGAGGAAGAGGAGGCAGAGGTGCCTCCACTCTGAGCTGGAGCTTTGTGGAGCCTCCCCCTCTGCGCTGCTCCATGAATTAATTAAGTTCTTTTCCTTTCCTGCATGAAATATTCACCCGCTGCCGAGGGAACTGGGGGGCCGAGCCCATGGAGGCGCTGGTGGGAGCCAGGTGAAAGGGACAGCAGGGAGAGGGATCTTTGGGGCAGGTAAAACTGATCGTTGGGAGGATGTCACTGCTGGCTTGGATGGCGCTCACCTGGCAGCCCTGCTGTGGTGCCACCAGCCCCAGGTGACCACAGGGTGACAGGGTCTTGTCTTCCCCCTCAGGCAGGACCTTTCTGATGATGGTTGATGATCGATGCTTGTGCCCTCAGAGGTGTTTTTGGGAGAGGTTTTTTTGGGAATCCAGGTCACAGCTGGGTGTTGGGTGAGATGCAAGCCCAGTGGGAGATGGGCATGGCACGTGTCTGTCCCCAGGGGACCACGTCTGCCCTGTGACAGGGCCACCCTCCTGTGCTCAGCCAGGACACCTCAGCCCTCACACCACTGCTCAGGGCTGCAAGACTCCCCCAAAAACCTCCAAAATGGGTGGGAACCCTCCAAGAGAGGGCTGTACCTGTCCCCAAAGCCACCGTTGGGACCACAGCCCTGCCGCACTCTTCCGGAGCAGGGAGGAACTTGGTGACAGCAGCTCCACTTCGGAAGAAGAAGAAGCTGTTTTTTAGGGCGTTTTCATTAAAAAGAAGAAGGGGGTGGGGGGGAGCCCAAGCCCTGAGCCGAGCTGGAAACTGCAGCGACAGGAAGGAAGTGAAGTGGGTTATTTCAGGCTGCAGTTGGCTGCTCGGGGCAAGGCTCGACTCTTCCGTGCGCTGATAGCAGCCCCCGCTGAACAATGGGGTCGTGGGGCCCTTCCCGGCAGGAAAACGGCTCATTCTGCTGAAATCTCCACATCTCCTGCTGCTGCTGAGTCAGCAGGTCCTGGCGGGCCGAGCGTGGTGTGGAGGGTGCCGGGGGAGCCAGCAGGAGGTGAGCCTGGCTTTCCTTGGGCTTTGCAGGAAGCAGCTTCTAAAACCACCCCTGGGCACTGGAGAGGGAGCTGGTTGCATTTTTGGGATCTCCATACCCGTCTATACCACTTCTGGGGTCCCCAGACCCCCCCCAATAATGCTTGGTGCCTCAGTTTCCCCCTGGAGCGATGCTCCTGGTCCCGGAGCAGGGGAGGGCTGTGAGCAGCCGGGTGTTATTTGCTGCAGGGAGCAGAGGGTTGATCCATTATTCCAGCTGGCATTTGGGAGCCGTGGGCAGCTCACAGGACTTGGCACTTCCTATTTTTCATGTGCTCCGGAGGTGGGGTTTGCACTCGCTTTGTGTCTGTGGTCACCCAAGGCAGAGCTCGGGTGTGGGAATTCCTATTTATCCAGGCACCGTTCCCAGGGCACCCCACGAGCCCGGGGAGGGAAATTCCAGGCTGTCAGCACCACAGCAAAGCCCAGCTCCTTCCGGACAGGATGCCTGGCATGGGTGAAGGGAGAGGAGATGGAGCTGCCTCTGCCCATCCTGCCCGTCCCTCCCTCCAGGCTCGGCTCGGGCAGCACCTCCTGGATGCAGCCATTGGAATTCCTGACCCAGGAGCTGCTGTCACCAGGCTCTGCGCTGTCATTTTTGTCTTATTAAGTGTGAGAGCCTCAGCTTGAGGCTCAGGCTGACAAGAATCAATGTTTTCCCACCGTAGGAAATGCTTCCAGACCTCTGTGTTTTTCCTGAGGGTTGTAGATAACCCTGCAGGCGATGTCTCTGTCACTGCTGCTGGAATTCTCATCCCCACGGAGCCTTGGCTGCCCTCGGGTTTGGGAGCTGCTGGCTGGGAGGTGCTCAGGGGCTCAGCACCATCGTCCTGCCACGACTGCCTGGGGAGCCTTGGCCACAGCAGGGCATCCCTGAGGAGCTGGGATTTGCTCCTGAGAGCCTGGTGTGTGCTCCAGAGGGGAAGGAGCAGCACTGGGGATCCCCTGAGGGGCTCAGCTTGGCCAGGAGGGAATGACAGAGCTGCCTGTGATGGGGACAGGCTCGGTTCTGTGACAGAATCCCAGAGTCATGGAGTGGTTTGGGTTGGAAAAAGACCAAAAGCTCATCTCATCCCACCCCTGCCATGGGCAGGGGCACCTTCCTCTACCCCAGGCTGCTCCAGCCTGGCCTTGGGCACTTCCAGGATCCAGGGGCAGCCACAGCTGCTCTGGGCACCCTGTGCCAGGGCCTCAGCTCCCTCTGAGGGAAGAATTCCTTCTTAACATCAAATCTAAACCTGCTCCCTACCCATGAGCGATTTATCCCCATCCATCCTCACACCAGCAGTGTCCTTCAGCTGAAATATCTCCTCTCCCCTCCCTGGGGATGTATTTTTAGGCTGATCCCATCCCCTCCTGCTCTGCCAGGCTGTCCGTGCCATGTGCAGGCTCTTGCAGAAGCAGCTCCCAGCTCTGCCCATCCATCCCGGTTGTTTTCCTGCTGTTCTCCCCTCCCTGTGATTTGTAGCTCTGCGGTTTCCCAGGCCAAGACGCATCTCCGGGGTTTTTGATCGTTCACAGCAGTTTAAAGCCGTGCTCTGCCCGAGGTGATGGATTTGGCCCCGCCGGGATGTGGGAGTGGGGCTCTAGGTGATCTTCCTGTCTGGGTGAATTATTCCCCTCCTGCACTGCCGGCTCCGGAGGAGGCTGGGGCAGCAGCACAACAAGCCCGAGCTTGTGTGGGTGTTCCAGGGCGAGCAGTGCCAGGGAAAAGGGCTCCCCTGTCACTGCTGGGTGCTGCAAACCGGCTGTGCCGCCCCGGCCCGGCCGGCACCGCCACGCATGGGGCACATGGCAGCGGGGGTGACTCAGCTGCCACCTGGGCTGTCCCCAGCTCACCCTGCAGGAAATGAGTCAGGTTTTAAGGAAGGAAAAGTGTTCAAACGATGGGGCAAGAGCCCTTCGTGCAGCAGGAGGAGGGAGGCGTCGGTCCCGGGAGGGACGCCGGGATGGAGGGGCACGGGCGGTGCGCAGGTAGGGACGCCTCGCTCGCTGCAGCCGCTCCACAGTTTGGGAGAATGAAGGTGGGAACACCCTGTAATGATCCCACCCACCAAACCTGGGGGGGAGCTCAGCTCTCACCTGCCCTGGCAGCCAGGAGCTCCCTCAGTCCCCCATTGCCTGGAGATGCTCTTTCTCCTGCCAAAAACCTGCGTGGGGAGGTGAGGAATCGCAGAATCATGGAACGGTTTGGGTGGGAAGGGACCTTAAAGCTCATCCAGCTCCACCCCCTGCCGTGGACTGGGACACCAGTGAGGTGGGCATGGCTGCAGAGCAGGGACTGACCCGTGTGTGCCTCTTCCCCTGCAGAGATGGACACCTTCAGCACCAAGAACTTGGCCCTGCAGGCCCAGAAGAAGCTCCTGAGCAAAATGGCCACCAAGACCATCGCCAACGCCTTCATCGACGACACCAGCAGCGAGATCCTGGACGAGCTGTACCGGGCCACCAAGGAGTACACCCACAACCGCAAAGAGGCCCAGAAGATCATCAAGAACCTCATCAAGATCGTGATGAAGCTGGGCGTTCTCTACCGCAATGGGCAGTTCAGCGCCGAGGAGCTGCTGCTCATGGAGCGGTTCCGCAAGAAGGTTCACACCTTGGCCATGACGGCCGTCAGCTTCCACCAGATAGACTTCACCTTCGACCGCAGGGTCATGTCCGGCGTCCTGACCGAGTGCCGGGACCTGCTGCACCAGGCGGTCAACGGGCACCTGACGGCCAAGTCGCACTCGCGCATCAACCACGTCTTCAACCACTTCGCGGACTACGAGTTCCTGTCGGCGCTCTACGGCCCGGCCGAGCCCTACCGCACCCACCTCAAGAGGATCTGCGAGGGGGTCAACAAGATGCTGGAGGAGGACAGCATCTGAGGGGGCTGCTGGCAGCGGGGCTCTGCCCCCCGCGAGGCCGAGGATGCGATGTCGGCTTTGGCCTTCGCCGGGCTGGCCGTCCCCTCCTCCTCCTCCTCCTCCTCCTCCGCAGTGCTCGCTTGTGTTCTTGTTTCTCCAAGAGAATGAACCTCTTGACTGTGTCTCCCCCTCGCCCAGGGTCTGCAAACCCCTCCCTGCGCTGGGCTGAGCCTCTCCAGGGCATCCTGGGACCCTGCTGTACAGTTTGATTTCCTTGCCCACCAAGTGCCTTCAGCTCAGAGTCCAAGGATTTGGGCTCTGTGCCTTGAACTCTGTCGTAACCCTCTGTGGGGAAACTGAACCAAAGACTCGTGGTGTGAAGCACCTCTGAGGTGTCTCTGAGCAGGTGGGACGGTGTTGGGGGACAGTTCTGAGAGCCCCCCACTGGAGGGCTGTGGGACGCCGTGGTTTTCTTCCAGCAGCTCCACAACGTGGAGGGAGCAAATCATGGTCCGGACTTGCGCTGCCTCAGGCAGGAAGGTGCTTCTGCCTGGGCTTAGGTGTCCTCAAAGACAAGTCCCTGAGGTCAGGAGGATCCCTCCTCACCTGGGGGAGGGCTGGGAGGGAGCTGGGGGAGCTGCTCCATCCCTGGATCCCTGGAGCCACCCAACTGCCCACCAGCCTCCAGTGGTGGTGCCACCTGGCAGCTTTGGTGGTCATCCAAAGCTCCCCTGGGATTTCATCCCTTTTCCACGCCCTTGACTGAGTGATACTCATTTTTAGCAAACTCTGTAGCCCTGATGAGTTATTTAAATAAACTCACTGTGTGGCCTGGGAGCTCCATGAGGTGTCAGTGGTGACAGTGACAGAATGAGCCCTGGGGACAGCTGGCTTTGCCCCCAGGTGCTGGTGGCTCTCTGTGACCTGGGGATTGTGCTCTCTGTCCCCTGGCACTGCTGCTGGTCGTGCTGTCCCTGCTCAGTGGCCCAGCAACTCCTGGATTTGCACGGACAAAGGGGAATGGCCTCCCACTGCCAGAGGTCAGCTGGGATGTGGGGAAGGAGTTCCTCCCTGGGAGGTGGGGAGGCCCTGGCACAGGGTGCCCCATGCCTGGCAGTGCCCAGGGCCAGGCTGGACAGGGCTTGGAGCAACCTGGGACACTGAGAGGTGTCCCTGCCCACGGCAAGGGTGGGACTGGATGAGCTTGAAAGCCTCTCCAAACCCCAACCACTCCGTGATTTGGTGAGATCTCGCTCCCAGCAGACACCCACAAGTGCTCCTCTGCACCCCCACATCCCCTCAGGGCCCAGGAGGGGCCCAAAAGCAGAGCCCTGGCAGCAGGGGAGCCTGGCAGCAGGGGTGGCTCTGCAGGCAGACACAGCCCGGAGCAGAGGGGATGCTCAGGTCACTCCCAGCACACTGAGCTCGGCTCTGAGCACTGGAAATTGCCCTTTTAGCACCCAAGACACCACACAATCTCCACTGGCCTTATCTCTGTGACCTTCTGGTGCCTCCTGCTCCCTGGGTGTCTCCAGACAGGGGCTCCCCTCCTGCTCCCTTCCCACCCCTGGCACTGATAACTCTCAGCCTCAGAAGATTAAATGAAAGACACAAAGGCCCTGTCCCTGTCACTTCACAGGCCTGGCTGCAGCTGCCACTGGAAATGGTGTGACACAGCCTGGGGTGGGGCACAGCCCATTCACAAGGGGGTGGAGAACAGCAGGAACCCACGAGGTGCTGGCTCCCCATCAGGGCAGGGGCCAGTGGCCTTGAGAACAACTCCTGTCCCTGTCAGGAACCAGAGCTGGGAATCCCAGGCAGGGGTGGTGGGATGGGGCTGAGCAATGCCCAGCCAGAAATTCTTTGCTGTTCCCAAGGTGTGTGTCTGTGTCAGCTGCAAGATCCTCCTAAACCCTCTGCAGCCCCCAAATTCCCCTGGGACACCTCAGCTCCTCCTGGCCAAGCAGCAACAAAGGTCCACACAGCTGGAGAGGGGAGGAGGGGCAGAGCAGAGCAGTTTCAGGCCAGAGCACGATGCTTTATTTCTTTATTGGTGCTGTATTTACACAGGAAAGGAATTGCACATTCCCTGTTATTACTCTGGATAAGAAAAGAATCACTTTCCTGTAGGTATAAAATAGTCCTGTGGTTGTGCTGACACGTGGAACTGCTGCCTGGATTGACTCCTGATTATGTCAGAATAAGCTGCTCTGCCTTCCCCCAGCCCCAACACTCACCGTGGAATCAGAGCTTTGGCCAACCCCCTCCCTCCCTCCCTCCCCCTAAATTAATTATTTCCTCCTGTCACGCTGGTGGAGAGAGAAATCCCATCTCCCCTCCAGAGAGTACAGAGTTAACAACTCCCCTTCAGCAAGCCCTGCTTAAGAGCAGCCACTTATCTCCCTGCCCTGCTCTTCCCAGGCAGGCAGATAAGGAGCCCCTTTCCAGGGAGCTGTGCCCTGCTCAGCCAGGCAGGAAGGGCCACAGGAGGATCAGGGGGTCACTCTCACACGAGGCAGAACAAACCTGTCCCCAGCCCTCCAAGCCCCACTCGTGTGGGTCCCCAGCACATCTCAGTAAGGAAAACACAAAAGGTTTGGCCAACCAAAAGAACAACCCTGCAGGTGAGCAGGAAATCCCTTTCCTGCCGTGCTGGTGTGGCCGTGCCCCCTGGCAGGGCTGGCCTGGGCTCACAGCTCGTCTCGGGGGGGTTTTGCCACAATCACGAGCTTGGACAGCTCGAAACGGAACTTGCCTTCCCTGTGAGACACTGCAGAGAGAGAGAGAGAGAAGCCCAGGATCAGCAGCTGGAAAAGCAGGAGCCAAACAGCCCTGCTGGGTCCTCCCAGGGTGCTGGGCACTGCTCTTCCCACTCCTGCACGTGCCAGGCTGGGGGGAACCAGGGGGGAACCAGGGGGGAACCCCTCCTTACCCCGGGATTTAACTGGGATGGGAGCAGAACCCAGCTGCCAGCGGGGCATTGAGAGCCCTGTCAGCAGGGTTTGAGGGTGCCTGGCCTGTCCCCCAGCCCAGCCCCTCTCTGCCAGCCCCCTCGGGCACACACCTGCTGTTTCAGTGACCCCAAACTCCTCCTGCTTCAAGGGGACGTCGCTCAGGGCACCCGCAGCAGCCTGAGACTGAGACAGGAAGGAAGGAAGGAGGGGTGAGAGGCTGAGGCAATCCAGCAGGTCACAGAATTCAAACCCACCAGCAGCTGAAAATGAACGGCTCTGAGATTTCTGTGCAGTGAAAGAATTAAGGGCACAAAGGAAATCTGGAGGAAAATCTCTGTCTGTTTTCCTATTTCCTACTAAACCATGGACTCGTGTCCTTGGGGGGACTGAAAGCCTCACCCCTGGAAAGTGGGAAATGGAAGAATGAGGCAGACAAAAACACCAGCAGAGGTTTCATTTGCTTTGTCACATGCAATTTGTCGAGTCCCTTTGTGCCCTGGTGCCTTTGGAGCCCCCTCCCAGCAAAGCCCTGGGAGGGAGAGGGCAGGAACACAATGGGGCAGGCTGCCCACCTGCAGCCCCTCTCCTGCCTGCCACCAGCCTCTAATTAGGGACGTGATGGAGCACATTTAATGGCACAGATGTCTAATAAATGTTTTCCATGTCTAATTCATGTTTTATAGCAGCCTCCCACACTCTGCTTCCCCGGGATCAGCTGGGACTTACATAAGCCATGGCATTCTCTATCTTGGCTCCTTTCACTTCAGCTTTAAACTGGGTAAAGAAGAGATAAGACTTCCCCTGGGGCCTGAAAGAAGAAAGCAGAGCCTTTGTCACCGGCACAGAGGTGCAGAGGAGGAGGAGCAGGGGAGTGAAGGATTCCTGGCTCCCTCCCTCCCCCCACCGCCACCTCTGGATCTTTTGTAGCTTTTGTGCAGAGCAGGGGAGAGGGGAACAGGGAATTTGGAGCATCCCTGGGAGAGGAAAACCCTCCCTGGGCAGGTGTAAGTCCTTGCAGGGTCCTTGTCCCTGCCCCACGGGCACCCCGAGGTGGCTGTGCTCAGGACACACCTCCAGATGGAGCAGGAGAAGAGCCCGTTGTCCTCGCTCACTCCGACCGTCATCTGCCACTGCTGCACGGGGAGAGCGGGGTCAGGGGAGAGCCCTGCCAGGCCAGACCCCCCTCCAGGAGGAGCAGGAGCTCCCAAACCCCCCAGAGGAGCAGGAGCTCCAAAATCACCCAACAGGAGCAGGAGCTCCAAAATTACCCCAGAGGAGCAGGAGCTCCAAAATCACCCAAGAGCAGGAGCTCCCAAACCCCCCAGGAGGAGCAGGAGCTCCCAAACCCCCCAGGAGGAGCAGGAGCTCCCAAACCCCCCCAGAGGAGAAGGAGCTCCCAAACCCCCCAACAGGAGCAGGAGCTCCCAAACCCCCCAGCAGCACCCCCAGCAGTCGCTGGCAGCCCCTGCTGCTCCCTGCCTCGGGGCTGTGCTCTCACACAAGCAGCTCCCAGCCTTTCTCCCTCCCAGGCGAGGAAGAGGAGCTGGCTGCAGCAGGACTGCCCAGCTCACCTCGTTGGTGCCGCCCTGGGCCGAGTAGGTGAAGGTGCAGCCGAGATCCCCCTGCAGAGAGAGCAAGAGCAGCTCACTTTACACCAGCTCTTCTCGCACAGAGCCCAGAAGGGCTGAGCTTGGAAATGCCCCCCAGAGCGAGTCCAGCGGTGCCCAGCACTGCCAAGGCCACGCTGTCCCCAAGTGCCACATGGCCTTCAGTCCCCCCAGGGACGGGGGCTCTGCCATGCCACCGTGCCGGTGCCCGGGCTCCCTTTCCACGGAGAATGTCCCCCCATATCCAGCCTCAACCTCCCCCGGCCCCGCCGTGCCCTCCTGCCTGCAGGGCTGGGGGGAGGACTCGTGTCCTGGGGTGCCCAGGGACCCCCAGCCCCTTCTGCACTGGGGCCCTTCCCTTGCTGAGCCCCCTCCCACGAGGACCCTTCTTTCTCTGCGACCCCCTTCCCCTCTCCCTGCCCTTGGGGTACCCCCCTTACCCTGGGGGGCCGTTATTCCCGGCAGGTCCCCATCCCTGGGGGTCTCCTCGCTGCAGAAACTGTCCCACCTTGGGGACCCCCTTCTGCTGGAGGACCCCACTGGGGGCTCCTTCCCCTCGAGGACCCCCTTCTCTGCGGAGTTTCCTTCCCTCCTCGAGTACCCCCGTTCTCCCTGGGGTCCCCTGCCTTTTGGGACCCCCTTCCCTTGCAGACCCCCACAGTCCCTGGGGTCCCCTGCTTTTAGATCCCCCGTTTGGGACCCCCTTCCCCTGCAGACCCCCGTTCTCCCTGGGGTCCCCTGTCCTTGTAGCCCCCTTTGGGACCCCCTTTCCCTTGCAGAGTCCCGTTCTCCCTGGGGTCCCCTGCCCTTGTAGCCCCCTTTAGGGACCCCTCTCTCCCTGGGGACCCCCGCCACCCACTCGCCCCGCCCTCCCTCGCGTCCAGCCAATCCCCATAGCGGGCGATATGAGTGACGTGCCGCGCAGCCAATCAGCGAGGGGCGCGTACCCTCTCCGCTCCCGCTCCCTCCCTCCGGGCCGCTCACCAGGCTCCGGGAGAAGGAGTGAACCTCCCCGCCGGGCCGCACGTCGAACTCGGCCGTGCTCGGGGCCGCGCCCGGGGCCGCGCCCGGTTCCGCGGCCGCGCGGGCCGCCAGGCACAGCAGAGCTGCGGGCACCAGCGCGGCCCACGAGCGCCGGCCGCTCCTCCCGCTGGGCGCCGCCATCTTGGAGAGGAAGCGCGGGCTATGGCGGCCGGCAGGGGTCAGCGCGCCGGCGGCGGCACGGCGGCCATGTTGGGTGTGGGCAGAGCCCGGGCGGGCCAAAGCGGCGGGGACCGCGGTGGGACAGGGGGACATGGGCACAGCAAGGACAAGGGACAGCAGGACAGAGGGACACGGGTGGTCACGGCACAAGAGGCCCTGTGGTCAGGGGACAAAGGGAGCAGGAGGATAAGGTGCCACTGGGACAAGCGCCCATGGGGTTGAGCGGCTGCGGGGACCTCGGGGACAAAGGCCAGCAGCGTGGCCGAGCTGGGAGGGAAGGGCTGGAGAATGCTGAGCGTGGTGAGAGGGAGCATCCAGCCTGGAGCAGCCTGGAAGGTGTCTGGGACCAAGATGGGCTTCAATTCCCACTGGAACTTGTGGCTGCTGGCATCCACTACCACCGCACAGGGCCCACGGCTGCCGCCGCCCGCGTCAGGGCCGCCTCGCTGCCCCGGGGCACCGTCCTCAAGCCGGAGCGGGTGGCAGCCCTGCCCTGTACCGGGAGCCGTACCGGCAGCCCGAGGTGTCCTGAGAGAGGGAGAGCGGCACCGGGGCAGTGCCAGCAGCAGGCTCTGCCCCATTCCGGGCTCGCCCGTCCCTCCCCGTGCCCGTGCAGGAGCCGAGCCCGCCGTTGTCCCGCGCGTAGCGGAAGGCCTCTGAGCGCGGCCCCTCTGCGGCCCCGCTGCTGGCTGCAGTCCCTGAGGTTCTGCTCGCTCAGCTTCCCCATCCGCCTGAACGTGAGCCCCTCCAGGGCCCCCGCCGCAGTCCCCCCGGGGAGGTGGGGACAGCAGAGTGGGGTCACGGCATCGCCCCCAAGCCCACCGGAGGGATGCTCTGACCCCCCGGTGCTGCTCTCAGCTGCAAAATCAGGGGACAGGGCTCGGGAGCAGCGCAGAGCTGCTGCTGCCCGGATGCCACAGCCCTGGCTGGGCTCCCAGCCTGTGCCCACCGGGGATTTTACGGGTGTCACGTAGCCCTCGGCCCTCCAGTCCACGTTCACCGGGGCTTTCAGGGCTGCCGAGGCTGGGAACGGCCGTGCTGGCTCCTCCCTCTCCCTCTGCACCGGGATGGAGCCGTTCGTGAGTTCATTGAACTCCTGGTTCGTCTGCAGGTCACCAAGGGAAAACTCGTGCGATGCCGAGGCTGCCGCCACCCTCCCTGGGTGGATCAAACCCTGCGAGCATCCCCTCCCTGATCCCCGGGGCCGGGGTGCTCTGAGGGGTGCCCAGGCAGGGTGGCAGCAGTACCAGGTCCCCGAGGTGGTTCATGGCCAGGTGGTAGCTGTGCTCCCCCCGCGACTCCTCCCGGCTGTGCTGCTGGATGTGGCGCAGGTTCTGCTCCCAGCTCTCCCTGCCAGAGGATCCAAGGATCAGAACAGCCCCTGGGCCCAGGGGGCACGGGGAGGGGTGGGTGCACATGGACAAGAGCCCCTGGGCAGGAGCCAGCCGTGCTGGGAGGGCTGTGGGGAGCAGGAGCTACCCCCGGGTATTCTTTGGCATAGAGACTCTTCCAGCCTTGCCAGGCCTCCTCCCGGTGCCGTGGCACAGCCCAGCAGGGCCAGCAGCAGCCCCAGGGTCAGGGCCATGGCACGGGGCTGGGGACAGCGAGAGGGGTCAGGGGGCCCCGGGCTGAGCCCCCCAGCTGCAGCCAGGGGCTGGGAGCAGGAAAATCCTGGAGCAGAGCAGAGGGGGAGGCACAGAAATCTGTGCCAGCTCCGAGAGGGGCTGGAGGGGGACCAGGGACAGGAGGTTTCTGTGCAGAGGCCATGCCTGGAGCTTTCCCTGTGTCCCAGCACGGAGCTGGCATGCCTGTGATTTCACCAAAATCCCTCTGAGAGGATTCTCCAAGATCAATTTACAGCCTTTGGTTTGGCCAGCACAGACACACGCGGAGCCCAGCCCAGCCCTGTGCCTTCCTTGGACGCCCCACTCCTCCTCTGGGGGACCCTGGGATTTGTGAGCTGCTCCAGCTGTTCTGGGGGTGCAGCCTGCACGGCCCAGGACAGAGATCAAGTGCCTGAGACCCCCAAGCACCCCGAGTTTCCACTGACGTGGCTCTCCCAGAGCCAGGGCTGTGGCTGCACCTTTATCCCACCCACTCTGGGAATGGAGATGCCGGGAAGTTTTCCATTCGAGCATCTTTCAGGGCAAGGAGTGACTTTTCTGAGCTAATTTTATAGCTTGAGGAGTGATTTTGTTTTAAAAATAAGTCCTCAAGAACATCTGTTCTCCCTCCACACCATCCACCTAAAAATAAAGCCCCACAGGGTGGGTTTTGGGAGAGAAATGCCTCCCAAGCCACTCTCAAGTCCCAAATTCTTGAGGAAGAGTGGTTTTTGCCTGGTTTCCCCAGCACCTGCTGGTTCCTCTGTCATTACCACTCACTCAGGAAATTAAGTCAGCCTCATCCCCCAGCTGCAAATCCTCCACCCAGAGCCACCCCGCTGCCATCACCCTTCCCGCGGGACCGGGCTGGGACCTCCCACATCATTTGTGTTTGAATCCCGACAGAGCCTGTTCCATATGGAACAGCTCCGCGACATTTCCCAGCTCATTCCTCTCGGGATTCTCAATCCCCAAAAGATGACCAACCCCTTTCGAGGGTGCCAAAAAATCCTGCAGCAAGCTGGGGGATCAGAGAAGCCAACAGATCTGCAAACTCTTCCAGACAAGAGCGTCTTAAGACATTTTAAGAAACACTCAGCTTTTCGGGGACAGAAAAAAGCAGTTTAAATTAAGCCTAAAAATTAAATTAGGGAAGCACAGCAACAAACTCTGCAAAAATAAAGCTTCTTACCAAGCAGCAGCACCCAGCCAGCTGTGAGGAACAGAGGGTGAGGCTTTGCTGGCTGCAGGGTTCTCTTATAGACACATCTCAGAGGTGCAACTTCCTGCAGCCCAGTCCCTCCTTCCACCCCTCTGACCTCAAAACTCACACCTGAGGTGCTTCGTGGCACCTAAACCACAACTGCAATATTGGGACAATTATTTGGGCACAGGGACAAGAAGAGGGGGGGGAAATCTGCTCCCAGCCATGCCCAGGAACCCAAATGCTCCATCTGGAAGAAGCTCTGCATTTAGAACAAGCCGCCAGCAGCACCCTCGGGGCATTAAGAGCGGGTTAATTAACACCAGCTCCCACGGAGGAAGGCAAAGCAAGGCCGGGTTTGGGAGCTTTGGGCTGGGAGGGCGAGCAGAGGCAGGCCCAGCTCCGCACAAGCAGCTCTGTGTGTCCCAGAGTGGGAGCAGAGCAGCTGCACCCCCAGTCCCACCGGAGGGAGGAGGGAGGGAGGGAGGGATGGAAGGAGGGAGGGAGCGAGGTGCCCACCCCAGGCTGCTGCTGACTCGCTCAAGGTCACGCCGAGCCCAGCACACAGCCCAGGATTCCCAACCCTCCGTTGCTTGGATCGTGCTTCCCCCGAGGAACATCAGGGATTTAATATTCTCTCCACTGCTCGGCACAGAAAGAACAGAGCACTTGGCTTTCAGCAGAGCTGCTCTGGATGTGGCAGCAGCTGCTGCTTCCTCCTGCCCCCCAAAGCAGCCACCACGTCTCTTTCCAATATTTTAATGAGTCGCTACATCTTACACTCATAATTATAAAAGAATAAGAATCCATAAAAATATTTTCTTTTCATAATACGCACTTAAAATACTCCAGGGCAAGTCAACGTGGTTCATTTGGGTGGGTTTTGTTTGTGTTTTCGTTTTGCCCCTGGCAGAACCCTTGGCTTGAGGGGGGGATGTGCTCCCCTGAGGTGTGATTGCTCAATCCCCCTCCCCAGAACTGCAGTTCCTGTTGCCCAGGTCAATAAAAACCAGGAGAGAGCATTGCTGAGTAGACGGGCAGGGGGACCAGTCACTGACCCGCAGAGAACTGAAGCACAGCCGATTTCAGTGCACATTGGAAAGCTCAGGGAAGGACAAGGGGGGTCGGGAGGCGGCACAGAGAACGGAGGGAGGGAGGATTTGCATAAATATCATCCATCTTGTGTTGCAAAAACCCAAATGCTGCTGTGAGCTCTGGAGAGAGGCTCTGGCTGTAGCCAGCTGCCAGTGCTACCTGTTGGCACAACTCTGTGAGAGCGGCCATGAGAGGAAGGATCAGAGGGCGCCGTTGCCGGCCCCGGCCACTTCCTCCATCTGCTCTGCAAATTTAAACTTGAAAATAGATATATATAAAAAAGAAAAGACTAGTGTTGCATGCTTCTGTAGACCTCTCTTCAGCTCCCAGGGCTCCAGTGTGGCAGCAGGGCCAGGACACAGAGCAGATCCCCAGGTGAGCAGTAGGTAGTTCTCTTCCCTCGCACTCCTGGCTTAAGGCAGCTTCTGATTCCGCTCTTCCGTTTCCAACACAGGCACTGAGCTCTTGCAGGGAAGAGTTTGGGAACTGCACAGGTGCAGTGGAAGAGGAAAAGGATTGGGGAGAGAGAGATGGACACAAACCTCAGCCTCGGGACACAGACCACTGTCCATTGATTCCCAGGAGAGAGGGAGTAGCAGCAAAAAAAGCATTGAACAGCCAGGCTGGAGGAGAGGAGGAGGACGAGCAGCCGAGCAGGGGCAGACCTCCAGCTTGGAAAGTGAGAGAAGGTGGCACTGTCCAAAGGGAAGGCGCCCTCCAGCTTTTCCCCCTGGCCTGGGGGTATCCCCAGCCCGACGTGGGCACTCAGCCCCTTGTGCTCTGGGTTGGACGCTGCCGGGGAGCGGGAGGGCACGGGGCAGGTGAGCTGTCAGTGTCCAGTTTGCAGAGGCTCGTGCTCTCAGAGGTATTCTTGTAGAAAGTGCAGCAGCGTGATTTCGTAGTGCTCTCCTGACTCAGGGCACCGAATACTGTGTCTCTCGTTGGGGTAGATCTGTGCCAGGGCAGACAGGGGGCATTGGTCACTCAGCAGGCACAGAACTCCCTCCCCTCAGCCCTGCTCCCTCCACCCAGTCTCCAGCAGGACAAAGAAGTGCCAGGGAAGGTCTGGAGCACCCCCTGCTCACCGCAGCCACCCCTGCCAAGTGGGACACACCAGCTCGTGGAGGAGGAAAGTTCCAGGCCCCAGGGCAGTGCAGCCCTGCCTGCACATGCCACAGCTGCCAGCCATGGAACAGCCACAGTGCCACCTCCCGGCCTCCTCAGTGCAGCCAGGCGGCCCCAGCACCACAACAGGATGTGCGGGATCTGCCTCCCTCCCCTCCCATCCCCAGAACACACAGCAGGGAACTTTCTCCAGACTGATGGGACCTTCCCTCCCCACTCCTGTCCCTCCTACCTGCAGCTGGTAAGGTTTTCCAGCCCGGATTAGCTGCGATACCAGGAAGTTGGTGTGAAAAAAGTGCACATTTTCATCCAAAAAGCCATGGAGGATCAGCAAACGATTTGGCCTGGACATGGGGTGAGAGATAAGGAGAGAAACAGGATGAGAAACCAGATGGAAAACACAATGAGGCACCAGATAAAAGCTCTGCAGAGGGTTTGAGCAAAGAGCATCCAGCTGGCCAAGCCAAACCCAAGCAAGAGCAGTGCCAGGCCACGGCCACGGGCCTCAAGCCCTCCCTGGCAGGGGGCTGGGGGTGCTGTGACCCAGCTGCTGCCGAGTTAAAGCGGATCAGAACCCCTCCATTCCCCTGGGATTGAGCAGGGCTGCAGGAGCAGGTCTGGGGCAGGTACTCACTCGTTGGGAAGCTTTTCCACGTGCAGTGCCACCGAGCCAGCCTCGTAGCCCTGCTGGTTGTTCTCGGGGACGTCCATGTAGCGCTCGGTGTAGCCGGTGTCGTAGGCCATCCACACGGTGACAGGGGCACCTGCTATGGCAATCTGTCAAACAGAGAGGTGCCACCACACAGCCTCTGTTATGGCCTGCTCAACAGCCCCAGTGCTCCCTGCTTTCCTGGAGAGGCAGGAGAAAGGCTCTGGGCTGCTCTGTCACTCAGATCAGGATTCTCCTTCAGCACTCCCACGCACAACCCAGATTCCTCCTCCTGCTGTTCCTCTTGTGGTCACAGTGGGAAAAATTCCTGCACATCAGCACTAAAGGCCTCCCCTCTGCAAGGAGGAGTTGGGAATGATCCAGAAACTGTGCTGGGGACGTGGGATGGGGAATAGCAGACCATTATCTCCCTGTATGGCAAACCAAGCCCATCCAGAGCCATCCTCCTCCAGCCCCACCAAGGATGAGCTGCAGCAGGACACAGGACTGGAGCTGGGAGCTCCAGGCAGGCAGGACAGGGGGACATTTCCACCTGTCCACCCCGAATAAACCAAAACGCCAATTCCAGCTGCCAAGAGGGACAGAAGCTGCGAGAGCCAAGTGTCCCAAAGGTGCCAGCCCCACGTGCAGGCTCACCTTGAAGACGTTGGGTTTACAGATGAGCCCCATGAGGGACAGAAAGCCCCCGTAGGACCAGCCGTGGATGGCGACCCGGCTCAAGTCGATGAACCCGTATTTTTCTGCTACATAATGTAAACCTTCCACCTGGTCCTCTATCTCCACCTGACCCTAAAAGGCAAAAAGGAGACTCATGTTAGTGGACTTGATACGTTTAGAAACTTGAGACACAAACACTCTCACAGGAAATGATCAGCCACCACCCTCAGGGAGGACAACGATCAGAGATTCCCCAGCACAAGGAGGACGTTACCATTTGGTTCTTCAGGGCCCCTTCAAATTTGAGGCCTCGTTGGCATGATCCCCTTCCATCAATCACCACCACAGCATAGCCCAGGGATGCCAACGTGTTCAGCCGCAGGTACTTGATGCCTTTGAAGGAGTTGTTCACCAGCTGCACCTGCACAAGGAGGGAGGAAGAGTTTCAGAGCTGAGCAGGTGCCTTCCAGTGCCTTCCTCTGCCAGTGGAGGATCCTGAGCTGGACAGCTCATTGAGCTATCAGAGCCATAGAAATCAAACCACACGCTGGAAAAGTCATCTGAGGTTTGAAGCAGAGGTCAAACACAGGGACAAAAGGAGTAGGTTTAGATGGGATATTATGAGGAAGTTTTTTGTTGCAATGGTGGTGAAGCCCTTGCACAGGGTGCCCAGAGAAGCTGTGGCTGCCCCATCCCTGGATGTGTTCAAGGCCAGGCTGGATCTCTGAACAACCTAGGACAGTGGAAGGTGCCCCTACCCATGGCAGAGGTGGCA